AGTAGAAAATATTTATACCTGTTAAACTTAGCTTTATACAAGAAGATTAAAATCATCAATGTATGAACTTGTCTTTGTATTGCAGTTGGTAAATATCAAAGTAAGCTGTTGTAGGTTTTTGTTTTCCATTTGGAGTTGGACAGGTGTTCATCTGTAGGCTTTTTTAACCAGAATCATATTACTGCAGATGCTGCTGCTTAACAAAAGGATATTTTTAAAGAAGACGAGAGAAATGTTAATAGGACAGAAAGGGAGATCTTATACTACAAAGCAGGTACTGTAATACATATTGCATAGGCTGTAATATTCAAAAGGCATTTTAGGATGCTCTTAAATAAGACTGTAAAAGAACTTTACAAAATATAAAACAAATATCAAAGTGACATCGTAGGTACAGTCAGATTTTATTTTTACACTGCCTTTACAATGAAATAGGATTAGGGGCCACAGTCATATTTTTATATGGGGTCTTCAGGTGCTTGTTGAAATCTTCACACTGTGAGAGACATTGATAGGATGGTAGTACACACCAGTCTGACCCTCTCTGGGAGGTTCTTGTCTTCATCTTTGAAAACAGCATTCTCTTGGCTAGTGGTAGTACTAAATACAGACAAAAACTATGAAAACAGGGTTTGTACTTTGTCACTTAAGGAGTAACAGTAAGAAAACTGTCTGCCCATGTTAAGTACATATGTAGTTCTCTTTGAATATTTTGATTCACATTTGGCTGGGGATGCAGAGGCCCCCCTATATTATAAAAGTAATTATTTCTCTTCTTCTCTCCAAGCAGGGAGTTCATTTTCTCCACTTTTTTTTTTGGTCATGTGTGAGAAGAGGAGGCAGGAAAGAAATCTTCAACATTCTTCAGATACATGGATTTGCTTGTTCTCCTAAAACAATGTTCAATGCTGCTACCCAGAATTTGCCTTTCTAACTTAGAAGAAGAAAAGTCCCATCCCGGAGGCTTTGGGTCATTTCTCAATTTGAGAGAAATGTTAGCTCTATTTCTAATTCTCCTAGTGTGTCTTTTCATCAAGGCCTTTCTTTCTCTGACAGCTGAGCTACTTTCCTTTCAGGTGTGTGTTTACAGAGACACACTGTTTCTTCACCTGCCCCTTTCTTTGTTCATACTCCAAACATCCGATACCATATTTCCTTCTCTCAGCGCTTCCAAAGATGGTTTCCTTCTGCTGAGAATGTTCTTTTTCAATTTAATTAACATTTTTCATTTATTTTACCTACGGATCACAGTTTACTCTCCCTCCTTTCTTTCTGTGTCCCCCATGTCCCCTCCTCCCCCATCTATCCTCTCCCCATCCACTCCTCCTCTGCCTCCGTTCAGAACGGGCCAGGCCTCTCATGGCCTCAAACAAAGCAGGGCACCTCAAGTCGAGGCAGGATTGAGCTCCTCCCCTTGCTTCAAGGTTGGGCAAAGTAATCTAGCATGGGAAACAGTTTTCCCAAAGTCAGCAAAGGGCCTGGGACAGGTCCTGATCTCACTGCTAGGAGCCTTACAAACAGACCAAGCTACACAACTGTCACACACACACACACACACACACACACACACACACACACACACACACACACACACACGCAGAGGGCTTAGGTCAGTCCCATGCAGGTTCCCTAACTGTTGGTCCAGACTCCATGAGCTCCCAGGAGCTCAGGTCAGCTGTCTCTGTAGGTTCCTCTGTCATGACCTTGACTGGCCCTGGCTCTTACAATCCTGTCTCTCTTTCTTCGGGAGGACTTCCAGAGCTCGGTTCAGTGCTTGGCTGTGGATTTCTGCATCTGCTTCCATCAGTAACTGGGCAAAGGCTCTCTGATGACAATTAGGGTAGCCACCAATCTGACACTGGAGATGGCCAGTTCAGGCACCCTCTCTACTATTGCTAGGAGTCTTAGCTGGGGTCATCCTTGTGGATTCCTGGGAGTTTCCCTGGCACTTGGTTTCTCCCTAAGCCTGAAATGGCCCCCTCTATCAAGATATATCTTTCATTGCTCTCCCCACTCAGTCCCACCCCCAATGCCTCCTGTGCCCAGTGGCACATGCCAGTAGGATCTGCTGAAGGAGGCAGAGGCAGGAGGATCACAAATTCGAGGTCAGCCTGGGCTGCCCAGAATGTTCTTCTCTTCTTCTCTCTCTGTTCTTTTTCTTTGCCATTCCCTTTGCTGTTTAAGGAAATTTTAGTTTATTTTAAAGATACTAAAAAACGTAAACATTTTTTGAAGCTTAAGGACTTTCTCTGGGTTTCCATAAAGTTAATGTATGGATTTCATCATCATATTGCTGACTATTCATTCACATATTCTTTTCCATAATAAACTCAGATTTCTCTGTCTCTGTCTGTCTGTCTCTCTCTTCCCCTACTAAAATGCACTCTATTGTTTATGGGATAGATAAAAGGGTACCTAAATGAACATGTAACAAAATGGAATGTTTCCTGAGTTGTGTGTGTGTGCCTCTGTGTGTTCATGTGCTTGTGCATGTTTGTGTGTGTGTGTGCACACGTGTGTGCTCATATGGTGCTAGGGACTGAAGCCAGGGTTCTTCAAATGCTAGGCAAGTATTGTCCCACGGAACCATAGCCGCAGACCTTTCCTAAGGTTTTCAGCATTGGAATAGACATTAAAAAATAACTGCAAAGACAAAACTCGGTAGTTTGCCGAGTCCCCAGCCTCACATCACAGACACTTCTAATCCTTACTTATACATGTCTGTGTGTGCTAAAACAGAACCCGTGAGAATGAAGAGGTTAACTGGAATCATATGTCCTTATCGTTCAGTATGATTGTGATCCCATCAACATGTATTTTTAAAGCACCTGAAATAAAAGCACCTTCTTCTGCCAGCATTTTCAAGGTAAATATCAGTGGTTCTCAACCATGGTGCTTGTTCTCTGGCTGTAAGAAAATGTCTGCACTAAATGGAAGAGCCCTTTGGGTCCATCCATGCAGTTGACTGCTCCGTAGGGAAATTGTATATTTCCCCTCTATTCTTCTTCGAACAACGGAATCAAACGTCTTTTCTTTGTTTTCTGAAATTCTTGTGCAATTACAACCAGATGGGAAATAGAGGAAACAACCACCTGAAATCATTTCCGACAGTGTCTTTAGAAGGATAGAACAGAAAGAATGGCTGTGTGGAGTCTCAGTGAGACAAGATGCTTAACAGTGTAGAGGGCCTTTTTCTTTCCAATGCCAGGGCCAGAACTCAGGGTCTTATAGAAGGTAGGCAAGGTCTCTACTATAGACATAGGTCCTCAGTCCCTAGAGTAGGGGACATTTTAATAGCAGAACAATGTGAAATATCAGATCACTAAAGATAGCAACCACCTAAAGTTGATCATAAATGGGTAATTAGGGGAGGACTCTTTTTGTTTCTTTTCACTGTGTTTATTTTTTATTGACATGCCTTCATTGTACATGGTTTCAACCTTACACTTCTGCTTTTAGGGCACTCTCGGGCATCTCAGACTTGCCTTGAATTTTCTATGTATGACTGTGTTCTTCACATCCTCCTGCCTCTATCTCCCAAGTGCTGTGATTACTGGCATGTGACATCATCTCTTGTTTACATAATACAGGGTGTTGGGGATTGACTTCAGGGCCTTATACAAGGAAACATTCTACCAACTGTGCTACATGCCCAGCATTTCATTGTACATGGCTCTACTGAAGAGACTTTCATACAAGTATGTAATGTATTCTGACCACATCCTCCTTCACAACCCCCTTCCCTGGTCTTTATCTCCCACCCTCTATGTTACCCTAGACTGTATTGTTTCTAGTTTCAGGTCATATATATATCCATGATTTTATCTATTTGTGTAAAATCAGGGTTCACAAATGAGAGAAGATGTGATATTTAATTTCCCAAGTCTGACTTAATTCATTCAATATAATACTCTCCGGTTGCTTCATTTCCTGCAAACAACAGAATTTTGCCTCGATTTGTGGCAGAATTTGATTTAGCTTCTATGTTGGTGTAGTTCTGATGACACTAATGCTCGTCTGTCAGTGATAAAAGTGATCTTCATTCCAAACTTCTCGATTAGATGAACCCCAGTGGGTGAATTGTAACATGCAAATAGGAACTATTCACAGAACACCAGTAAAAATCTGATTTATTTGTATTCTTCACATAAAAGAAGTATGTAGGATTGGTGGGATGACTCTGGCTTAAGGCACTTTTCTGCCAAGTTTTGATGGCTTGGGTGTGATTCCCTGGGACCCACATGATGGAAGGAGAAAACCAATTTTTACAAATTGTCTTCTGCCCTTCACATTGGTGCCACAGCATGCATGTATACACACACACACACACACACACACACACACACACACACACACACCAATAAATAAAAATGTATTGAAAGTGACAAAAATAAAAACACGAACTAGGTAAAAAAAAAAACATATACCAAAACAAAATTAGGTTTTTCAAAGTAAAATCAACCAGAACCATATTTATGTATACGTGATTAAAATGGTAAAAGTTTTTCTAAGATGGTTTTTAAAATTTTTATTTTGTCATCACCATTTTTATTTTGTAGTGCTTGGGGTAATCAAACTCACAGTTTTGTGCTTGTCTGAGGTTTTAAGTTATAAAATTTTGATTATTGTGTATATTTGACTAGTGCTGACTCAACTTTATTCAAATGCCTTCAGGGTTTATGGACACAGCTAAAGAGCTAGCAGATTCATATTGTGGTTAACAAGTTATTCTAAGGATTTTGGGGGGAGGGGGGTAACAGTCTTTTCCAAATATAAAAAACAGTTGTGACTTAGACTTTGTCTAATAATGCTTTCCACCAATCACTCCAAGCCCGGGACACTTCTCACCATCACGATGGCTGTCTGCAGAATAAATCGAGACAAGCCTGCTGTGTATATTCATGTCTTTTTATCATATGTTGGCTGTGGAAGAATGTGTTGCTTGATAACAATCCACTACTTACATTTCAGTCTTTGAGTAAGCATAGTAAAATTCAACAATGGCCACCGCGTCTCCAGAACTTCCTCCCGTTAGCTGTAGAAAATCGACAGCAGCAGTTTCTGCCGGCTTCTAGCTCTCCTGTCAGTAACAGGCACTGCCTTGATGAGCTTGCAAGGCCTTAAATGGCCAGCATTTGTTGAGTAGTAAGACACCATTTGGTGTCATTTAAATGACTTTCCATTTGTTGATCTGATTTTTAAACATTTTAAACATTCAGCTTACCAGTTCAGTGCGGTTCCTGACTTTTATTAAAGCCATCCCTTGTTCTTTTATGGTGTGGTGTTATATTTACTAAATAGTTTTGGGCTTGTAATTTAACCATTGTTGGAAATAAAAATGAAAGAATAACATTCTGCTGTAGGGATAGTGAAACTAAAAAAAAAAAAAAAAACCCCACTGGGCCTTAAAACAAAGTCTATTTTTCAGTCTCCAATACCGTACTTCTATATGAATGTCAAATCATTCATCCTGAGTGTGTCATTTCTGCCTGAGTCTGATTTATACATCTCTGGAAGTTGGGCACAGTCCCACTGCCAATGTGAATAATGCAAGTTTTAAGATTTTAGCCAATAGCATCAAGCTGTTTGGTTATATAAGCAAGGATAAAAAGGGGCTTTGAAATAAATAAGCTTTTTTATTATCACATTAAATATGTATGCTGTAACATAAAATATCTCAAGGTTTTACAGTGTGCATACACAAGGCCCTGAAGATGTCTCTTTATATAGTACAAAATCTCATAAAGTGTTCATCTGACCAAAGAATATCCATCTTCCCTTTGTGGTTGGGGAGAGAACTAAGTGTAAAGCCGTGTATAATGCAGGCACTTCTTTCCTCAGGGTGCTGTTCTCTGGAATAGTTCACCTTAATGGCCTCCCTCATTTATGTAGTCACTGTACTTTTTTTGATGGATCATGATGGCACTGAGAGACGTTCTGAGAAAGATGAGGACGTGGCAGAGTAGTTTAATATATGCAGAGACTTCTGCATCACAGAACTAGTACTGGATTCAGTCTAGGTCTACATGTTCAGACCAACCTACAGTTTTCTAGTTTTGAGACAAGCTTCTAATTATTTAGCCCAAGCTAGCCGTGAACTTGAAATCCTCTTGCTTCTTCCTGAGTGCTGGGTTAGAGATGTGTGGCACTATGCCTAGCCATTTTGCATGTTTTGATTGACTTGACCAATAAAACTGGAAATTCATCCTAATTTTCATCCTAACATACTGAAAAACAATGAACAAACTGTCAGTCTTTCCTGTGTTAAAAAGTTAACTCTAAGGGCTGGAGCTCAGTGGTTAAGAACACTGGCTGCTCTTGCAGAGGACTTGGGTTTGGTTCCCAGAATCCACACGGTAGGCTCACAACCAATATATTCAGGCACTTGTACACATTCATAAAATAAATCCTTACATCTAAAACAGGTTAACTTTAAAGACTGTGTGTGTGTGTGTGTGTGTGTGTGTGTGTGTGTGTGTGTGTGTGTGTGTATTTAGAGAGAGCCTTGGTTGACCAGGGATATCACACAGTGTTCTCAATTCCCTACAGTGATCTAGGTGAAAGAATGTTTTATAGACAATGGTTCAGGAGAGACTTGATTCAACAGCTGTTTAGTAATGTTGTGCTGGATTGAGGTGGACCTCATTGGGGAAAGTGCTTACCTAGCGTATTCAAGGCTCTGTGTTAGGTTCCTAGCACCACAAATCTACTTTAAGTATAAATGAAGAACTTTGTTAGTAGGGGCTGGTGAGATGACTCAGAGTTTAGGAACATGTACTGATCTCGCAGAGGACCCAAGTTCAATTCTTAACACCCACATCTAAGCTCACGACTGTAACTCAACTCCATTTAGATCTGGCACCTCTGATCTCTGAGAGCACCCCAACACACACACATACCCCAAAAAGCCAATCTTTACAGAGTTTTTTATTAATTGATGATGGAAATAGATGAGAAGTAGACAGAAGTTAATTACGTGCTACTTGCTATAACTATTACAATTTCAAATAATGTGAACTAAGATGATGTCTGTATGATTTGATTTTGCTAAACTATGAGAAAAGAAAAGAAGTGAGAAACATTGTGATGTTCACCTATAATACTATGATTCCAGTACTTGGGAGGAGAGGGGGGAGGATTTTTAGTTCAAGGTCACCTTCTATCAAAGCAAAATTCATTGCTTTTTCCTAAAATCTGAGCTATTTTTTCTCTGATTCTGTGATGACTCTCATTAATAATAGTCTAAAGTTGACCAAAAATAAAAAAACACTAGATCACATTGATGGGTTTCATAGTATTAGAAAGATATGCAAGTTGCCAAGGGAGAGGAGTAATTGGTAGTATTACCCAGTAGCAAAATCCATGAACCACATTAATTATTGGACTTTTAAGATATCCACAGTGCTGAAATAGTGGCACGTTTATCTTGGATTTTATCTTGGATACAGCTGTATCATTGGATTTAAAACTTGCACAACAGGGGAGTGGAGAACCTCAAGGCGTGAGTAAGTCCTTCAGTGCTCTCCAAGTTCTTGGTTATGGAGTATTTGGCTCATCCTGGTACACTCAGCTTGGCTGCTGGAGTTGCTTGTGGCATGTGCCTGGACTGAGGCCTCTGGCGTCACCTTGGGATGTTCCCCCAGAACTCAACAAGTGAGGCAAATAGAGATACAGAGACAGGAACCGAAGGAACAGGAGAGAGTGGGGAGTACAAAATGATTCTTGTGGTTCAAACTGACCTAAAGATGGGAAAAGGGAAGGTCGCTGCCCAGTGTTCTCATGCTGCTGTTTCTGCCTACAAGCAGACTCAAAGGAGAAACCCTCAAGTGCTCAAGGAGTGGGAAGACTGTGGCCAGCCCAAAGTGGTGCTCAAAGCCCCAGATGAAGACATCCTCATTGGATTACTGACCCATGCAAAGATGTTGGGACTGACTGTAAGTTTAATCAAAGATGCTGGACATACTCAGATTGAACCAGGCTCTCGAACTGTCCTGGGAATTGGGCCAGGCCCAGTAGAACTAATTGATGAAATTACTGGCCACCTAAAACTTTACTAGATGAGCTTTTGTGCAATATGATTCTGTCTGAAAACTGAAGCTTGTCAGTAACAATAAAAGCTTAACTTTTGCCCCACTTTAAAAAAAAACTTGCACAACAGTAGGAATTCATCTCTGGTACCATAAACCTAGACAACTACCCATGGCTGGAGAGGTCATAGACCAAGAAAGGATCCTGCTACTGCCTCTTTCCAAACACAATAAATTTCTAACTTATCCTTAAGGATGGTGGGGTGCCGAACCCTAATGGATACATCTCCATTGAAAGCCCTAAGGCTCAGGGAAATATCACAGACGGTGGGGGTCTCTTCCTGCATGTACATACAAATAAAGCTATGTATGTCCATAGACATACATGGATTTAGTAGGTTATGTGTACATATGTCCATAGATGTACATACATACACATGCAAGTACACATGTAACAATAATAAAGAAGAGATCACGAATTTAGGAGGGGAACATGGGAGAAGTTGGGGGTGGGTGGGAGTGTAGATGTAGATGCTATGCTCACGTGGGAGGCCCTCAAAAAATTATTAAAGGACAACAACAATAACAAAAAGAAAACATTTAAGACAAAAATACCTAATGGTTCTTAAGGAAATAATGGCTGACCACCAATTTGACTGATTAATTGCGTCCTTCCCTTTCTTTTGTCCTCAGCAACTCAGTTGGCTAAATTTGAACAACTGTTTTTACTATAAAAACTATCAGTAAGAGAGTTAATGTTGAGGAACAAAGAAGTCACTTCAGTTCTTTTAATACTTTAAAATATCCCCTAGTACCTTTATAAGAAGTATGTTGCATTTTGTCTGTGCTTAATGCACATAAAAACAGTTTGCATATACACTCTCCCCACGCATTTTAGGTTAGGATTTATTTTTGTTGATATCATATATGTATACATATATATACATTTCCACTCCTCCCTTCCTCCCTTCCTCCCTCCCTCCCCTCCCTCCGTTTCTCTCTTTCTTTTTTCTTTCCTTCTTCCTTCCATCTTTCTTTTTTCTTTCTTTCCTTCCTTCCTTCCTTCCTTCCTTCCTTCCTTCCTCTCCTTCCTCTCCTTCTCCTTCTTCTTCTTTTCAGTTTTTTGAAATGGGATTATTCTGTGTGGTCCTGGAATTCTCTTTGTAGACTAGGCTGGCCTCCTGAGTACTGAGATTAATGGCAGGTGCCCTCATGCCCAGCATTTTCCACTCTTTTCTTAAAGAGTAAAAAATAGCAATTCATGCTGTGTTTCTGGAAATATGGTATCAGTTTCCTCTCATAGTCTCATACCATTTCTACCTTTGTGTAAAGCAACTGCTCAGTTTTGGGGCAGGCACCATCTGGTGGGCTAGAAGACATGGTGGAAGGCTGTGACTAGCTTTGGCATCCCATACTCAGCAAAAATGGGGCTTCCCATCTCCTTGGGACCTTAAATCCCCTTGGTCTTTGATAAGTCCCTGGTTTGTTCCATTATTTTCTTTGTCAGGCAGTTTGTTTTAACCACCTCACCACCATGGTACCAGTCCTTCTTCCGATTCTGTGGTATGGTTCAGGACACAAAGGATGCTCATGGACCCCAGGGCTTCCCCTGTCTCTGCTATTCCCATCTGTTCCTCTCTTGGAATTCTTTCCTCTGCCTTAAGTACCTACGAGCTAGTTGTTAGGTAATTAGTGCTGTGGCTGCGTGGCATGGATCCACTAACAGTTCCTTCTTTTATCCGAATTCCTCCGTGGACCATAATTTTTAGTGAACCTTTTTGCATGTGGAAATTAGACGAAAGAAAGAAGCCGCTAACTCGAGATGATGGGTTTAAAGCAGAGAGCCTGGACACAGAAAGGTTTGAAGAAGTGCTAGTTAATTCTTAGGAAAATATACATGTGATTAAATGGTAGAATTTATTTTCATGTCTTATTTCTTTTTATTTTATTTTATTTTTTGTTTAGACAGACAAAGAACAGGAAAGTACTTTCTGATTCACTGTTAGTTCTTCTCTCACTATTGGTGGTGATCAGGAGGCCAGACAGAATCTCCCCACCTTGGGAGAGACAGGTGGAGAAGTGGAGAACGTGACTGTATCCCTGTAAATGTACAATAGACCACATCAGTCTGAGGGCCGTGGATGCAGCTGTTGTGATGAAACAGCAACAGTAGTTAGGAAAAGTATGTCCGGGAAGTCTTGTTCTTAATGTTTTTAAAAAAAAGATGTGAGGGCTACATGCAAATAGGGTATATTTCACTCATATTTTACAATTCAATGGCTTATTCTTTAAAGAACAAATACCATCTGGGGCTAAGTATAAGAAAATGAATTCGTTTCCATAAGTGCCATAAAATTTTGTTAGAATCGCATATTTTCTAGGTGACCTTTCAGCTACGATAATGTTTGAAGTTAGCTTTCCCAATGGACGAATTGCAATTATAAGGCTATAGTTATAATAGCTCAGGTCACAGGTGAAATAAGAAAATATCATTAGCAATGACATTTGATTGTTTCCTTTTTATTTTCCAGATTATATGTCAAATTTCTCATGAAATCAGAGAGTGTGGGGAGTCATTATTACTGGGGTTGATGGTACTACAGTTTTATTACCATGTAACTAATTAGCATTTAGTATGGAGAGATTTCTTCTTAATCTCAGAGGTTTGCACAAGAAATTCAGGAGATGGGAATCTTATCCATGCAAATATATCTTGGATCTTTACAACTATTTGATTTGCTACAACACTATTCTGTACTAAAAATCAGGTACTTTCCAAATCACTGAGATGAAATTCTCTTGAATTTCCCAATTAAAGAAACAGGTGTATGTATGTGTGTGTGTGTGTGTGTGTGTGTGTGTGTGTGTGTGTGTGTGTCTGTGTGTCTGTGTGGTGTGTATGTGTGTGTGTATGTGGTGTGTGTGTGTGGTGTGTATGTGTGTGTGTGGAGTATATGTGTATGTATGTGGTATATGTGTGTGTATGTGGTGTGTGTGTGTGTGTGTGTGTGTGTGTGTGTGTGTGTTGTGTATATATTCATGTTGTGTCATGTGCATGGAGATGCTTGTTAAGGCTAGAGGAAGGCTTCACATCCGTTGGACCTGGAGTTAGAAATGATCATTAACTGCCAGATTTGGGTGCTGAGATTGAGTTTATCTTCTGGAAGAGCAGCAGGCACATTTAACCACTGAGCTATCTCTCTAGTCCTACAATTCTCCAATCCTGTTTACAGTTTTACTTTCATATTGTTTTCCGTTCTTCTGGTAACCCTTTAAAAAAAAACAAAACAAAGCAAAACAAACCTCTCCGTGGCTCTACAGCAGCCAGGATCTGTACAAATGTCCATGGTCCATGTTGCCACCAAAGGCCACATGAATGCTCAGAGTCTAGGCCACAACTTGTGGCCATGTTGGCTTCCGACGGCTGTGCCACCATCGGGGCCATGCTGATCTGAGTGGTCTGCACTGCCAGCCGGGGCCATGGTGATGTTCTGGCCTGAGCTGCTACCTAGCTAGGGTCCTGTCCGGGTCCGTGGCCCTGCAGTAGCCAGTCTGAGTTGATGTCCGTGGCTCTTGTTACCACTGAGGGTCTTGTCAGCCACCTGAGACCCTATTGGTGTCTAAGGGTCATGCTGCCACTAGAATCATACTGGTCTGGGTGGCTGGCGATGCCACTGGGGCCATGGTGATGGCTGGGTCCAGGCTGCTGCCAAGAGCCATGTCTGGGTCTGTGGTCCTGCTGCAGTTGGAGTCTGTGTTGATGTCCATGGCCCGTTTTATTGCAGGGGGGCCGTAGGAAGCACACATGTTGAAATCCGAGGGGCGGATTGAGCTGGCTATGCCCTTTACTGGCCCTGGGATAACTGATTATGCCCTTTGCTGGATACTGAATCAGGAGATCTGGTCCTGCCCCTCATGGGAGTGCTGGCCCCAACACTAGGGAGAGATGGCCCCACCCCTTACCATGGGCATGGGAGAGCTGGCCCTGATTGTCTGGGAGTAGGAAAACTGGCTCTGCTCCTTGCCAGAGAAAATTGATCCCAGCCTTCCAGACCGACCAACTCAGCTACCAACCAGGCCGACATCTTGGGCCTTGGGTTGGCCCACCTTAACATCTACCCCATCTATGACCTGCTGGAGTGCTTGAAAGGACTGGTCCTACAGAACTATAGCCACAGCATCTCCATGACTCAGGGCAGCAGTAGGAGATTGGAGAGGAGTTTCAGTGAGGGTTCAGTGATGATGGTGTGCAAGAGGCCAGAGGACTTGAACCAGACCAATGACTCTTTGCAATGAACATTTGTAGGTGGAGCTGATAGGACAAAAGGGTGTACTGTGTGACTCACTGCAGCTCTCAATGCCACTAGGATGAATGAAGAGGTGTTGGAGAGATGGAAAAGATGGAGGAGTGAGGTGGATTTTGTTTGTTTGTTGTTAATTAATTGGGGGGTGCTTCTTTTGGGCAGATATGGAAGGATGGGAGGTGAGTGGGGTTGGGATGCATGATATGAAATTCCCAAAGAATCAATGGAGTTATGTTATAAAAAAAAAAACCCAAAAAACTCATCATGCTGCGAAAAAGAATTAAAAACATGACGTTTTATATAGAGTAACAAGTCTTTCAGAGATGCAGGCTTACATGAATATCAAAGAAAAAAGTACACTTACTGCCTTTTCCTATCATTTGGTTTTATGACATATTATTGGGTCCGAAACTCATGGCCTGGTATTTTGTTTCATTTTCAGATAACCCACTTAATTAACATGTTTCATGAGATATTATTATAATTTCATATTTTGGCCTTTTCAGCTTATGTCTTTTGGAGTGAATCAGATTTCAGCATCTATAAGATGTATGTAGGTCTGTGTGGGTATATGTGTGTGTTGGTTTTGTTGTACAACATTTCGCTGTGATAAAAGTTTTAGAATGCATTCTTGATGAAACAAAATTTCTGACTTGATAGAGGCAATTACAGAATGCTTTGCATTATTGTTAAATCTAATCCTTTAATGTAGAGCAAAATACTTTTCAATCTTTCCATACATACTTGTGATTTATTTTCTTTCCAAAAAAGAAATAAGGGGAAAAGTTTCATCAAGTATGTGAATGAA